CTTTTCACTGTGGAAGTAATTACAATGTACTTATTTATTCCTACAGGAGTGAAAAAGTAAGTTGTAACAGAGACTGAACACCACAATCTGCTAAAACAAGGGTAAAGGTACAAAATATCGAGATGAACACAGAAATTACTTTAACAGTCTATAACCAAATAGATTAATTAATACCAAACTCTAACCTCATATGCATCTGTCTCTGGTGCTTGGTGGAAAACTGTGATGCTTCCCACTAAATTTTATAGACCTACCCCCTGGGAGTTAAGGGGGTCAGTCACAGTTGCTGTGTCATATGTGGTGCTCACAACTTTTATATGAACTGGTTCATCTGGATGGGAAAGAATAGACCACATAACCCATCCTTTCTCTGTTCATGCAGAATCAAAAGAAATCTTCTACAGCAGTTGCTGTGTTCTTGCTGAATGATTTGGTTAAGAAGGAGTGTGTCTGGGACTGCCCGTTGCTACAGCCTTTTTTGGGGGAAAATCCAATCCATAATCATGCAAGTAACTACGTACTCCCTAGACTTCTCCCCTGTACAATTCTTGCTCCACCAGTCCATACTTCCATTTAGGACATACCGTAAATCACTCGCCATGCACATGGTAAATGCGGCAAAACAATGTATCCCAGTTCATTGGCGCTCAACACATGTTCCCACTATTCAAGCATGGTTTGCTAGGATCAACAAAATTGAGGAAATGGAGGAATTGATTTCTGTAGCAAAAGAACATCCCGAGAGATTCAGGAAAACATGGGCTTGTTAGAGTCATTTCAAAACCACCGCTACCTATTACCTAATAATGCATGAACAGCCTACACCCCCTGACTGAATGGTTAGAGACAATGCTGTTCTAGGGAACGCCATGTCCACAGAAGACGCATTTGATGCACATTTGGATGAGCTGAGACTCGGCATTGTGGCCTGCCTTTCGGGTTCTTGACCCACGTGTTGCCCATTGAATGATCTTGCACGTATTGCATCCTAAGCTATATGACTATCTTTCTGGCTCGTAAAAAATGATTTGATTTATTTTATCTGCAACTACCCATTCTAACATCCCCTCCTTTACTCCTTACCCATACCCCCCCCCCCCCCTTTTTTTTGTCTCATATACCCCCCCCCCCCCCCCCACTACCTCACTCTACATCTCCTCCTCTAACTATTCTCCTTTCTGACTTCTTTTTATCTCACGCCTTTTATACGCTTTCTTTATTAATATATCCCCCTTTACCTTATATAATATAAGGGAAAGAAGTGGAATATTATGCAATGGCCAAGTCAATCACCTGACCTGAATCTGATTGAGCATGCATTTCACTTGCTGAAACAAAACTGAAGGGAAAATGCCCCAAGAACAAGCAGGAACTGAACACAGTTGCAGAAGAGGCCTGGCAGAGCATCCCCAGGGATGAAACCCAGCGTCTGGTGATGTCTATGTGTTCCAGACTTCAGGCTGTAATTGACTGCAAAGGATTTGCAACCAAGTATTAAAAAGTGAAAGTTTGATTTATGATTATTATTCTGTCCCATTACTTTTGGTCCCTTAACAAGCGGGAGGCACATATGCAAACTGTTGTAATTCCTACACCGTTCACCTGATTTGGATGTAAATACCCTCAAATTAAAGCTGACAGTCTGCAGTTAAAGCACATCTTGTTCGTTTCATTTCAAATCTATTGTGGTGGTGTATAGAGCAAAAAATGTTAGAATTGTGTTGATGTCCCAATATTTATGGACCTGACTGTATAACGACTTATCTATTATACTCTTTGTATCTGCTGGTTTGCTATATACATTTGATATAATGATATATCTAACCTCGATTTGTACTGCAGTTTAAACCCATAGCCCGTCTGTGAAACGGGATGCCACATGTTGTGTCTATGTTCGGACTGTGATCCGTATTTGTATGTACATTGATATGCCTTACTTTTTCTAATAAAAGTATTTTTGGAAAAAAATAAAGGAGTGTGTCTAAAACAGTTTATGGGCCCGATTATGACATTAACATTATGGACATGTAATTGAGGAAAGTAAAAATTTAACTTTATTGCTGAAGTTTAGCTAAAAAAAATTATCTATAGTTTTAGATGCATTACTTATCTGTAATGAAGTATGTCCTACAAAGTGCAGAATGCAGGATTCTGTGAAAATCTTCACTGCAGGGCTGCCTGGTCCTCTCTTCCTGCTGCTGAACTGCCTGTAACTTGACTTTTGAGAGGGGAAGATGAATGGTGCAATAAAAATATTTACAGAAAAAGATGTAACTAAGATATATATATAAATATACAGAGACTAACAGCACAGCAAAGAGATATCAGAGAGAGGTGAAAGGGTTAAGGTACTTGCCAAAGTCCTGGGTTAGCAGATCCAAGTTTCAGAGCGAAAGGGCATGGGTCTCCCCAGGTGGTACGATGTTAAAAATGAAAGACGTCTTCAACTTACTTTTCTTAGGCCTGACAGCCTAATTTGTAGTTCCCCAGCAGGGGGTGTCTCTGAAGTCAAGGACCAATACCCCGTTTAGGGCGTGGAGGTCTGGGAGTGGACCTAAACTAGAACCAAAATCTCGTCTAGTTCATATTTTGGCTCATAACGTTTCCTATGCACAAGTGACATTCCACCCGCGGGTAGATTATTGTGCAGACACGTCTGAGGATTGATTAGTGTATGAATTTCATAAATTATATCTAAACGGTTCATGAGGCCTATTTTTCAGCTTTCCTATGTATTTGAGACAAGGCGAGTGACCCATCAAATTGTTTGTCTTCTCTTAGCCAATCTGACGATATGTCTGGTTTTTATGTAAGTCTCTCATATTCCAAGATATGAGACATAGGGGAAGAATGGATTTTGAAAAGGGTTTATCTGATTCGTGCTTCATTAGAATGCCTTGAACTCTTGGGACGGCTCTGTTATCTTTTTACGAGGTGTTAAATGGCACAGGTTGCTCAGACAGCCAGGCACCTTGCTCAGAGAGGTGTTTTACAGCTCTGGGCTCCCTGCCGTGCTCTAGCCTGCCTGTGACCCTTTCAACACACATATGTCCCTGTGGATTAACAGAGAGGAAAGGGGGAAAAAATCAGGGACAACATGGAGATTCTTAACAAATGGAGGACTGCGTCAGTCTCTGGTGCGCACGTTTGCGACACATGGCACAATGTATCCCACAAAGATGTACTACGGACTTTGGATGACTCTCCTGCTCCATGGCCGTGCGGGAAGTGGTTAATAAGACCCATGTCTCTAACTTGGTTAGAAAATTCCTATAGTCCAAAAATTATAATATATATATATATATATATATATATTTTTTTTCTTTTTTCATAAAAAAAGAAATAATAAATATAGTGTGCGTTAGTACCACATCCTATAAAGCAGTGGTCTCCAAACTGCTGCCCGAGGGCCAGATGTGACTCTTTGCTTGCCTTTGTCTGGCCCTTAAAGCACTATTCCTCCTAATAGAGCCAATGAAGGGGCACCATTGCATTCACTGACACCAACAGTGAGACACTATTTCTCCTACCAATACCAATGATGGGGCATCATTCCTCTCACTGACACAAACGGCAGTGCTCTGTTCTAGCCACTAATACAAACGATGGGACATTATACCACCTCCTACTGACCACATTTTTAAAATCCCACTGACCACCAAGCCTGAGACACTGTGGACTCCCATTGATGCTGGGGCATTTTCTACTCCCATTAGCCAGTCCAGCCCTCCTAAAGTCTGAAAGGCACAAAAGTGGCCCTTTGTTTAGGAAGTTTGGAGACCCCTGCTATAAAGCATACATGAAGTTTTGGATGTGAGACTCTGTGGCTCAAAAAGAAACTAAGCAGCCTTATTTTTTACAGAGTGTAGGAGCACCATGACAAAGTATTATTATTAATAATATTATTATAAGACAGGATTTATATAGCACTAACAGGTTGTGCAGCGCTTTACAATAAGAAGGAAAACAGTAAGGTTACAACACAGAACAAATTACCAGTTTTACAGTAAGAAAATGATTTAGTATTCAAACAGAACTTTTTTTTTTTTAATTTTGGAAAAAAGAAAAAAGAAATTACAAAATATAACAGCACCATATCAAGGTATCATAGTCTTCTAGATATGGGGAACTGCCAAGCTTGCAGTAAAGCTGATAACATTTTTTTATGCTGGCACTGAAGAAGGAAATGCTGAAAAAAATATGCAGACATTAACAGATGATTAAAGAAGTAGTGGACTCTTCAACAACAAACAAAGTACCATCCCCCCTGTAAGTTAGTGTCATAATGTGCTAGTATGCACCCCATACTAGCACATTATGACAGACTTACCTGTAGAACTAATCCCTCCAGCGGTACGCTGTAACTACTGCCAGGGCTCCCATCTTTACCTGGTCTTCTTTCTGGGTTTGTGTTCTCTGGTTGTTGAAAGACCGAGCTGCGATGATGTCACTCCTACGCATGCATATGAGAGTCAAGCTCAAGGCACAGTTTTCTGGATTGACGGCACATTCAGTGTACCCCTAATTCAGAGCACAGTGTGCATGCATTGGTTATGTCACCGGCTTCAGAACTTTCTTCTAAATGGTGACCATTTAGCAGATATTCATTGTACCCACAGGTAAGCTTTATTATAAACTTATGTGTAGATAGAAGTGGCCGGTCAGAGGTAGCTACTGCTTTAAAAATGGTTCAATTGAGTTTAATTTTAATATATATTTTTATCTGGATAAAGGTATTTTTTCTTAGGTGCAGTAGGAACACAGTAAAGAATCATTGTAAAGCATTTAAGTTTTTAAAGAAGACTCAGAACCAGGGAATATTTGAAAACTTATGGATCATGAAGGCAGGTATCAGAAGATCATTTTAACCATCTCCCGCCCGCAATATAGTAATATGATGGGCACAAGGTGGTTCTCTCATTCTGGGAGGACGTCGTATGACGTCCTACCATTCTCACTGCGCATGCGCGGCTCAGGGAGCGTGCAGCGCAGCGATCGACGGTGCGCTGTGTCACTCGGACACAGCGGATCACCGATCACGGAAAGAGCTGAAGATATCGGCTCGGTCTTGTGATCAGCTGTCCAATCACAGCTGATCACATGTAAACAGGGAAATGCCGGTTATTGGCATTTCTCTCCTCTCGAGCTGTCACGCTGACAGCTTGAGAGGAAAGAAGAGCTGGTAATCGGCTTTCCGCGGAGGGGACATGTACATTGATCATCAGAGCACTGATGATCAGTGTGCCCTGATGATCAGTGTAGACCCAGCAGTGCCACGTGTCAGTGTCCATCAGTGCCAGCTGTCAGTGCTCATCAGTGCCTCGTGCCAGTGCCCATCAGTGCCACATATCAGTGCCCACCAGTGCACATCAATGCCACATATCAGTGCCCATCTGAGCTGCCTTTCAGTGTCACCCATCAGTGCCAGTCATTGCCACCTATCAATGCCAATCAGTGCCACCTATCAGTGCTGCCAATCAGTGCCAGTCAGAGCCACCTATCAGTGCCAGTCAGTGCTGCCTATCAGTGTGCATCAATGCCACCTATCAGTACCTGTCAGTGCCGCCTAACAGTGCCAGTCAGTGCCGCCTATCAGTGCAATATATCAGTGCTGCCTTTCAGTGCCCATCAGTGATGCCTGTCAATGCCCATCAGTGCCACCTACCAGTGCCTCCTCATCAGTGCCCATCAGTGCCACCTATCAGTGTGTATCAGTGCAGCCTATCAGTGCCCATCAGTGCAGCCTTATTATCGTACATCAATGAGGAGAAAAATCTCTTATTTACAAAAACTAAGAAAAAACATTTTTTTTTCAAAATTTTCTGTGGTTTTTGGTTTGTTTAAGAAAAAATAAAAAACCCAGAGGTGATTAAATACCACCAAAATAAAGCTATATCTGTCATAAAAAAAAATTATAAAAATTTCATATGGGTACAGTGTTGTTTGACCGCACAATTGTCATTCAAAGTGTGACAGTGCTGAAAGCTGGAAATTGGCCTGGGCAGGAGGGGGTATAAGTGCCCTGTAGGCTAGCGGTTAAACAAGATGCAAATAAATGAATTTTCTATAGCTTTTCTTCTGTGGTACAAAGAGTCAATAGTAAAATATCATCACAGACCACAAATAACAAATAAAAAGCAAAATATAACTGAACAAATATTAGGAAAAAAATTTTCTGAAAATTAATTCTTCAGCATTCTGGGTTACTGAGCTGCGCAGCAGAAGACAAGCAGGAGTGTAGTCTTGAATCTTCTGTGAAGAGATGATTGCCTAATTGAAAATTTGCTAGGTAAGTGTTCTTTTCTTGATTTTACAGTGAGAGTGACAGTGACTGAACTAAAAAAAATATATAAACGGTATATATGTACTGTAATTGTGAAAGTTATTTGTAAACTTGCAGCAAATGTTACTTAGTCAACATATTTAAAAGGTGTGGTGATGATTGTCTACTATACTTCAGGAAGAGAGTAAACACAAGTAAATGGTCAGAAATAAACCATCATGACTGTTTGCCTAATGTGAAATATATTCAGTGCTGTACTAATAGATGTAATTTAGAACAGTGTCTTGTAGTGTGCAACATTTTCTGATTCTGGTTGACAAATGTTAAACCTGAAATATTTTGGACCTCCCACATACTCATATAACAGTTGAAAACAAGCATAAGCACAATCCTACATAATTAATAGAGTAGGTAATCGGCCAAATGATCAAACAGAAAATACTTAACGGGATTAAGAACAATATTGAAAAACAGGTTCAGGATAGCAAAAAAACCTGCATACACTGCCAAATAATGAAAAAAAAGGTTATGATGGCTGTGCAAACCTGAACTCTTCACAACAATGTCTCTGGGACTTAATCAGTGTAACATGTGGCTGTGAATCACAACACAGGGTCCAATAAACTGTCAAAATCACTAATTGTGTGTCTTCTCCTTTATTCACCTTTGCTTCACAAATATCTTCAACTCATTACATGGTAAACCCCCCAAAAACAGTGTAATCTATATTGTTCTCACATGTGAATATACCAACAACAGCACACCACCAGTGATAAAGTGTTCCACCCTCCACTTGTGCAGCCTCTTACCAAATAATGAAATTAAAACCGCATATCATTCCATTCCAGGCAGGCCAGCAGATCAACATCCTTTGATGTTTCTCCAGCTGTGTATCTTCTACTTAATTCACCTTTGCTTCCCAAGTATCTGCACATGTGAAACCTAAGAATAAAAACTCATATAGTGTAGTATTTTATAAATGAATGGAAACAAAAATATCTATATTGTGCTCACATGTAAATATACCAACATCAATGCATCACCATTGATAAAGTGTTCCACCCAGCCTCTTACCACATATTCAAATAAAAACTGCATTTCATTCCAGGTAGTGTTCCTCCTCTCAGTATAACAAAATAGATCCTTTAAGGAACAGGATATGGTAATCAAAGCCTCTCTCCCAGTCTTGTCAGTATTCAGCCTCCCTATAGATCAATTGTTAAGGGACACGGAGAAAGCAAAAAGAGCTGGAGAAAATCCCATAAAAACAGCTTTATTCTCTACACATATGCTTACATGTAAGAAGGTATTCAGACATCCAAAAATCAAAATGGTCACCTGGGTGTTCTGATTGCAGCATCTGATGTTACTTGCTGATGCGTTTTGTCCATGGACTTTGTCAAAGAAAAATAGCCATAGATACCATCACCTTTTATAATTCTTCTTGAAGTGCTGGGCATTCTCTTGAATGTTGCTTGATGGTGGGCTCCTGTTTTTTCAGACTAGGAACGTCGGGTTGAAGGTCAAAGTGTAACCCTTCCAACTTTTCTTGACACCTGCAAGCCCATTCTGATAGTGGAGACCCTCTCACTAGGTTGCAGACTACTTGCCCAGCCACCTCTGCCTGTAGCTTTTTTGAGTTTGCTGAGGGATAAAAAGTGAGGAATATATACTCTCTGGGCATGTCTGGGAACCCAGATAGTTGTGGGAAATAGAGGTAAAGGGGCCTGCATCTGAACAACAGTAAATGAGCAATTGGCTACAGTAACATGTAAATGTAAATAGCTATTTTATCAAACCAGAGAGCTGATATAGTGACAAACACACTAGAAATGTTACAGTCCAAGTGTAAACAGCAGTGTATTTTTTAGTAAAGTCAATTTGTGGGTCATTCTGGTAACATGACTGCAAAAGTGTTTCAACTCTAAAAAAACAATACAAAGCAGCAGAAACATAACTTTAGCAGGACAAATTAACAAAAATAGCATCAATACTAGCCTTAAAAATGGCACTTAGCCTATTCAAGTTCTCGTGTATGAAAAACACCACCCGCCAATACTCTCCTTTGTCACACTCCCCCATCTGAACATGTGTCCAATGCAGGGGCGGACTGACAACTCATGGGGCCCCCGGGCAATAGGGGATCATGGGGCCACTGTGTCCTCACCCATACTCAAACTACACTCAAAAAAGCCTATGAAAGGTACCAGGGACATCTGATGGGGCCCCCTACTGACCCCGGGCCCACGGGCAGTGCCCGAGTTTACAAATGGTCAGTCCCCCCCTGGTCCGATGGCTGAATCTTGGGTGAAAACATTGATAATCTGACCCCTATTTGCCCTGTACATTCTTCAAAACCTAAAGTATAACTGAAAGAAGACTTTTTTTAATCTACGTAAAGGTGAGAGGTTAGAACCACTGCCACGTTTTAATTGCTGTCTGTGCCCCCTGTTTCCCAGTATCACTGGGAAAGAAAGTAAGGGCAAATCCAACATTTTGAGTTGCCACCAGACAGGAATAGAGGAGAAATCTAAGAAACACTTGATTGACACCTGTCAAGCTGGTCATACATTATATAATCAGATTGTACAATCTCTGTACAATATAATTTATATTTGTCAAACTATGTGATATGAGAACTTATCCAAACAATACATTTATTTTGTATCCAATCAGGTAAGCCCAGGCACTCCATCGTTTGTGGGAGACTTAAGGAGAATGTACAATCAGATTGTATAGTGTATAACCAGCTAAAGAGGGGATATCCCTTACATTGAAAAGATATCTGTTTACTTTATGTTGTGTCTACAGGACAGGTAGTAAAGGGGAATCTCCCCACCCTATGCAAAATTTAAAAAAAAAGTTGGGGCTTTATATAAATGATCTATGGAAAGGCGTATATTAGCATCTACTCAGAAAAACACATGGATGTACAGTAATTGCATATGCATTAATATTCATTAGATTTTTTATTTCAAAATGTTCAGTTCACTAAAGTAAGTATTTCATTTGTCAAGAATTGCACCTGCTACTACAAAATAAATAAATCAGTTATTGAAACAGTTTATTTCAGAAATCAGTTTTTATCTGCACTTAGAATGGAGCTTTTCTCTGCTCTTCACAATCAAAACCTTATTGAACTTACTAATTACTACTGGCGAAAAATAGCATATGTTTAGGAATGACATTTTTTTCCCAAATTTGCAACGTTCACTTCTTAAATTTAGTTAATCCCTGAGCAAATATATAGGGTTTAGACAAAAAAATGCCTACACTGCAAACACTACATGATTTGCAGATGTGAAAGTGACGACATGTTTCGCTTTGAAAGCAGAAGTGATGTAACATTCTTTTGCTTCTGCTGTGTGGATGAGACACCTAACTAACAGGTGGGAAGCCTTACTTTTGTCATCCATTGCATGCACTGCTAGTAATATGGAATCATGTCAGAGTTTACTTAGCTGGTGCCTCTATGGCTAAATTTGCCAATTGTATTTGCTGTGTTACGAGGTACAGTATCAAAGGTTATGACAGCATATACAGTTTACTGGAAAACTTCATCTGATAAGCATAAGCACTGTCAATATGGTCATCTGACCATAAGAGACAAAAGGACATTTCACAGGATTGTGACCCAAAATATGAAAACAATTGCTGCAAAAGTGACTTCATAGCTCAATCTCGGTCCTCACAGGACTGGGATTGAGCACTGCAATCACTTGTGTAGCAATTGTTTTCTTATTCCGGGACTCTTTCATTATACTTTAGGAAAGCTTTATTCCCTTTCTGATGCTACCCTGCAATACACACGGGGGAAAAAGTCAGTTTCCATTAATTTGTAGCGTAACATTAGGTTAAGATTACGTTGGGTTGGCAAGCATTGATCGGTAAAAATCCAAATGGCATTGCTTCCACTTACACTTGCAAAGTAAATGCAAAAGTCTTCCAGATTATGAAAGTCATTGATGGGAGCTGGGGATTCATCTGAGGGGAGACATTTTATTTGAAAGAAAAAAAAATTATGTGATCTGACTGTAATTAGCCAACAATAGATCACAATAGCAAATATATATTGCTGCAAGGAGACACTGGAAAAAGCTGCAACATCTCTGCCCTATCCTCCATACTATAAAGAAGTGTCATGATGTTAATGCACTCCCAGTGTAAAAAAAAAAATGCCTCCTCATTGTTTTTACATTGATTTGCTGCAAGTGCTTTTATGGACTGCTGTGCAGCAAGATCATAAACCCAAAGGGCTTATTGTTGCTGGATGACGGC